AACACATCCAACGCTGGACTTTCTCGTACGGCCTGAACATACCGGAGCCCGTCTATGAGGAGATTACAGAGTGTCGACCCGTTTCCGTAATGGCGCCCAAAGTGGACGACCCTTTAGTACACGAATTACGGTTGAGATTGAAGTGTAAGCTAAATGTCACAGAAATTTATAGAATATTCTTTTAATTATAAAATTGTTTTGTTTTTAACTTTTAGCTAATAATCAAATGCCTGAACGGTTGGCCACACTATCAGCACCGCCACAAATAACGGGTATTGTATGGAAACGGGGGTCCAAGTTTGAGAGACCACCTGTTCCCCCTAAACCATGTGTTCAAAGTATCTAGATACTGTAGTTAAATGAGAGTTTTGTCAACTTAAATTAAGTGTGCATGTTATGGTTATTTTAATTGTTTTATATAAAGTCATTTTAAAATAGTTTATGTATTTAAGTTTATGAAAAAACTTTTATTACATACAGTGTCATGAAATTTATTTTAAAATTTAATATTTTATAAACATATTTATTGTAAATATTTCAAATTTTTTAGATAATTAATGTAATAAAATAAAGTTTTTTAACATATGGATTAAATTTTATTACAATTAACAACAATTTTTTTTTGTAAATTTTAGTAAATAATACTAAACTTTCAAATAAACTTTGTAACATATTTATAAAAATAAAATAATACTATTTAATATTTCTAACATAACCCTAATAAAGTAAGAATAAAATGAAATACAATTTAAATGTCGTCTAATTAACTAGTTTTAGATTTTCTAATTAACTAAATTTGAAAACAAATACTGGATTAATAATAGGGTGTTAATCAAACCCAGTATAAAGACTTATGTATTTAGATGTAGGTGTTTCTGGAAATACCTGGCTAAAATGTGACAAAACTATTTAAAAATGATACAACAATGCTGTAATTCAATGATTGATATGCAATTCGATATCATTTATAATATAAAATTACTTTCAATACTTACTTGACAATACAATTGAAAATAAATACACATTTCTTACATAACTCGAAGTTTAATTAAAAATTAATTTATTCAAAAACAATACAACATTTATTAATTAGATAAGCTTTTGTGTCTATAAAATTAATTTATTAAAATTATAAAAATTGTCATGGGTAATTTATTTGGTCGCGCACAATCTAGCTATCAGCCACTCGGAATTAGCAAAGATGATCTTGGTCATCCTACGGATTTTCAACACTTGGAACACTGGGAACTCAAGCAAAGCCATGAAAATGAGCCTGAGTGTATTATTATGGAAAAACCAGCAATGCTACAATCTAAGTCAAATAATACCGAGATCATATACAGTGGCTTTAAGATAGATAAATTACGTCAAGCGTTGGGTGCAGTCCAGCGCCAACTGGTGGACAGTCAGGTCGAGTCGGAACATAAGTACCAGGAATTTGAAGGTATGACCACGTGTTTAGCACATGATTACAGACCACTTGAGATATTAAATACACTATAATTGCAGCCGAAGTCAAGGAACTGAACCACGAGTTGACCCAAATTAAGGGCATTTACAACATAGAAGTGGAGCACCGGGAGTCTATGAAAAAGGATATGAAAACTACCGTAAAATTAATCAAAGACCTTGATCATACTTCATGCGCTGAGGGTTTACACAGGAATTTAGAGGCAATGGACAGGGATTTCAAAGAGTACCGGCGCTCGGCTGAGCACAGGGAGCGCCGCCTAACGGCTATCGTTGAACAACAAGCGATAGTAATCGATGCCTTCAAACGCCAGGTGGCGCTCGAGAGGGCACACATGGAGGAGACGTTTGCGGAACTGGAGGTCCAATATCGGGATTATATCTCGGAAAGGGTCGGGCGAAGGGAACTGGAGGTTCATGACTTGCATAAGGAGTATAAACAGAAAATTGAATTTTTGGAGTCAGTTATAGTGGATATGTATAAGCGATATGATTGCGAGCACCGGGATGGAGACGGGATGTATGATAAGGCTATTGGTTAGTATAGATTCTGATGTAATTTTGACGTAATTTATTAAATATTTTTAATTTTTAGATGAAATTGAGTCCGGGTTTGATGAATGGGTTAAAGTCTTTGGGGTGGAGTCCGTGCCTACTGTCCCACATAAATGCGGTGTCAATGGACAGGTGGTAGAGGCCTGTCCACAGGAACACCTTTCAGTCAGTATTGAAAACATTGTTTGTATTGGAGCTATGGGTGTGTAGTTAGTGGACAGGTAGATTTATTTTTGTTCAATCAGATAGCTATAAAATAATTAAGTAAACATAATAATCATTGTAGCTGTAAAATTACATTAAAAATTAATTTATAATTTATTTACAATTGTAATAAGTTTTGGTCTGGCTCGAAATCATTTGAAACCCATATTAAAATGTCAATTTATTAACATGACATTTTTATTTAAATATTTTATAATGTTACTATTATAATTATAACATTAATATAAAAATTACATTTATTTGCATTTTTCTTAGGTTAATTTAAATATTAAATAAAAAATTTAAAGCTAAATAAATAAATATTAAGGTGAAAATAAAACATTTTTTATTAACAAGCATTTATTTGACTAATAAAAATAACATGTTTTATGTATTAATAGCAACTACAATAATAGTGATTACACCCAATGCATTAACTGCGATTATAATTGATTAGGATTTGTATATTAACACCCATTCAGACTAAACAAATCACTGCTTATTTTACAAAATATTTTTATATTACTCAACCGGAAAATATAATATGGTTTATTTCTAACACAATACGTACTAGAGTAGACTTATAATAAATATTTTGGGCACTAACTGGCTACTAAACCATGGCCTACCTATTTATAAATCTGTCACTTGCAGCAACAAGATTTGCCTAAATAACTTATTTACGTAAGTACTATTTGCGTATATTTTAATAGGTAATATTATAGGGTTGCCAACTTATTCATGATTTTAACAATAACTTTATTCCCCATCTTATACTAAAGTTATAATATTTTAAGACATAACCTTACTGAAAGTTGGCAACACTAATTAGCATTAATATTTACCTATATAAGAGCTATCGAAAGTGTTAACATCAGTTTTATTTGCAATTATATTTATATTAATATATAACATAAAACTCACAGATATTATATAAAACTTGAATAAGTTATAGAATTTTCTGGCTATTTCTATTATATAAAATGTAAGTATAAACTAATAAGGTCACCTAGTATACTGTATAATTTAAAATGCAAACTTTTGTTTACAGATGTCATATATAAACATTTTGACAATCATTTCGCTAGTAGTGGTATCTATATGTAATAGCAGTCCGGTTCAAAGTATGGGTCATAAAAGTATAGGTACAAGCAGCGACTATTATAAAGTAAATGGCTATTTATCAATGGAGAAACCTACCAAGTTTAAAATATGTAACAAAGCTTTACAGGAGCTCATATCCATAGCCTGTCATGGTCTCTATTACGGCAGAACTAATAATATAAATAATCATGGTAAAAAGAGATCATTTGAAAAAATTAACTATCATGGTAAGTAAATTCTGTGGCAATAAATACGTAAGGTATTCTATTTTTGTTAGAATTTTTATTAGATAGCTTAATAATTTTATATTAAAATTTTAAATTTTACAAAATTAATTACTTAATTTATCTTGATTTATCTTGATGATTACATAATTTGAATTGATAATAACATTATTAAATAAAACTTTTAATCAGGTTAGTAATTTATAGGTAGTTTAACTTATCACCGTATTTTATTTGAATAAATGAGGTGTTATATATAACAAGGTTAAAAATAGCAATTTGTGTTTTAAAAATATAAATAATATATTATTATTATTTTGTAAATAACTTATTTTAAAATATCATCTTGGTCTATAAACAGAGCCGGAAGGGATAGACACGGAAAACATGAATCTATATCATCGACACCGGCGTGGTATTCATGAGGATTGCTGTGAAAACTTTTGCACTTTTGATACTATACTAGAATATTGTTCACCAATGAATACCACAACCACAACACCAAGTTCAGTTTAAAAATTTAATTTAGTTTGTTCTAATATATTTAATTATACTATTTATGCTACAGTAGTTTTTAATTTTATTGATCAATTTATTTATATATATTTTTCAATTAACACTGATTATTAATTTAATATGTGACATAACAGTACTTACAACAATTAAAAATATATACATAATATTTTTGTTTATATTTGTAAAATAATTTTGTAAATTTGAATAAAATAATTAATTTGGATTATATTCAATAAACTAATACTTAGCACGTAAAATTAGTTTTTTTTAATCATAAATTTGTTTTAATAGCTGAGTTATTATTAAACTACAGAATCAGTGAATCTAGTATTTTTACCGGCATATAAAATATATTTATTTATAAATATCAAATACTACACTTGTCATTTGTATGAATACAAAAAATAATAATATTTATAATCACATTCAATTTTTTTTGCAAAACCTAATCATTTTCATCATAACATCTCAACGGATACAACTCCATGTCCTCACAGACACACGACATACTAGCCTTACTACACGAGCCCTTACACCCACTATCCCCGTAATCCATGCGCTTATTATCCATATTAATATCATTTTTATTAATTAAACCCATATTACTATTAATAACATTCGTATCGTTAGTATTATTCGCATTCCTATCGCTATTCCGAACGCAACTATTGCCTAAATTCTTGACATTTTTGCATATATTATGCGTAAACGTAAGGCTTATATTGAATTTATGTTCACTTGTTTTGCTATTATTTCTCGTATGCACTACCGTAGATGACCTAGTACACAAAGCCACAGAATTTGTGTTATTTTGTGTATTATTGTTAGTATTATAATGAATATTCCTGGTATTCCCGGACTTCCTATGCTTTCCCCTCAAGAATATTCTGTTCAATTCGTGCCGATAGTATGGGTTGAGTCCGAAGTATATGAATGGATTCCAACAGACGGAGCTGAATGCCAGCCAATGACAGGCCAGGTATGTGTTGATACTGATGGCGGACAGGGAGTCGGTGGCGAAAAAGTCGTTGATTATGTGGTAGACGTTGATCGGTAGCCAACACACGGCGAACACCACCACAACGGTGGCCAACATTTTGATGGTTTTCCGCTTGGATTCCGAACGGGTTGTCAACTGTTGTTCAGTGAACTCGCCGATTGGCACCTGGATGTAGGTGTGGGTGTGATCAGGGTTAGATTAATGTTGTACATTTAAAGCTATTAAATTCTTGAATTGTATTTAACTTATTATGCATTTTATTAAACACTGTGTTATTAATAGTATTTTTAGAGACGTCTGTTTTTAAAGTTGTGTTTTGTGTGTTTGTCTAATTAAACAAGTAAAAGTATTCAAAGTATTTTGTCATGCTAATTAAATTTACTTTAAACATTTTGCTGATATCATACATACTTTGACGCATTTAAATAGTTAGCAAACACTGTCAGTAATTATATAAAAATACTACAGTACTAGCTATTATTATTTAATATTAAAATTTAAAACTTTTTAAATTTAATATGCTTTTATAAATTATGTTAATTTTCTGACCATTAATAAAAGTTTTATGATATTGATATAAAATAAAATAATTAAATTATTTAATTGTAATACAGTAAATTGCAATTTTAAATTCAGAAACTGTATAATATAAATAGTTTATTTATTTAAACATTTAGATAAATTTAGATTTTACCAAACGGATAGTAACAGTCAATCAACAGTTAAATATAACGGTTAATTAAATTTTAATTTTATAAATCTTGTTACTAATAGTAATAATTAATATCTAATTTACTAACATAATAAAATTTAAAATAAAATTTAATGAATATTCTCAATTATTATTATTTTATATCAAAAATTTATAACTATTTAAGTTACGTATGCTTTTACAAATTATGTTTAAATTTTTGATCATTAATAAAAACATAATATTAAAATAAACTAAATTCATTAAATTATTTAATTATATCATACATATAATTTTTTTTAAATCTAAAATAATTATAAAAAGTTGCATTTTTGAATTCAAAAACTGTAATAAAAATAAAATATATATTTAAACCTAGATAAAGCTAGAAAGGTTAAAATTCTGGCACCAAAAGGAATCGCAACAGATAATAACTTGGTTAATTAAATTTTATTTTTATAAATCGTATTAATAATTAATATCTAATTTACTACTAACATAATAAAAGTACTTACTCAGTATTTGCAAAAAATAAAACAATACTAATAATTATTATTTAATATAAAAATTTAAAATTCTCAAATTAAGTATGATTGTATAAACAAAATAATTTATTATCATTAAGAAAAATCTCATTATATTAAAATAAAATTAATTAATTAATTAAAATAGGCTTATAAATTATTAAAAAGTTATAATATGAGTAATAAGTTGTATTTTTGAATTCAAAAACTGTATAATAAAAATAAATTATATATTTAAACCTAGATAAACTTTGAATCTTTAAATATTGGTTATGATCAGCCATACCTGTAGTACGATTACATTTTATTTTTATAAATCATATTAATAATTAATATCTAATTTACTACAAACATAATAAAAGCAAACTTTCACTTACTTTACGAAATATTTTCAACGATATCAATGTGTATGTAATGAGTGTTATGATGAGTGGCGCTAAATATTGTGTCATAAATGTTACGATAGTTAACACTCGACGGTAGAAAAGTCTGGGCTCCGGGTATACCGTACGGCACCGGTATATTGTCCGTGACGTAAATAATGGCACCGACCGGTTAAATATGGAGTGCGGTATAGAT